CGTTTAAGACTATAACATTGTTGCAGAAAAAAAGTTTAAGGCATACACAGTTATTGAGGAAAGGCTACTTATCACTGGAAAGAGTACCAAGGATAAGATTTTAGTATGAATTGACTTCCAGAAATATGGCAAGCTCCTGACATGGCAAAATAGGTTCCCCCATAATTTGTGTCAGAATCTGAGTACTTATTGCTCAGAACCACTGATGATGAGCACACAGACACCTGCACTTGTGAAAGGAAAGCGTCACTGCAGTAGAAAAGAGTCGGGGATCATTCCCTAGCTCAGGAGACTCACGTCAGGTTGAATTTGAAGTTAAACTGCCATGTGTTGATGCCGGAAGGATATTCTCCTTTCTCATTTGTGAAAGTCAGGCCCAGCTGGATAATCTTCAGAAGGTCAACATTACACCGAAGGAGCTGGTACTGATAGTCTATGGAACTGCGGAATTCACCAATTGGCCTTACAACAACTCCAGGAAACTCTGTGTCCTAGGAGAGAAGGGAAAATCTTATTTCACCACTTACTCTGTTAGGAGTCATCATTATTACTCTACTAGGAGTCTATTCAGTTCCACACTTGCAGCTCTCAGCACGCCATTCTGTGAATTCTTCTGTAAAGATCCCTCATGTTTTCTCCTTTTCTATATCCAGAGATTTTTACACTGCTACAAGGCAGACATTAAAAAAAAAAAACAACCAAACTAAAATTGGTAACTATTGGATTCATTCACTTATTACCGGTTTCTTTTCCTGCAGTTTTGTTTTATTCCAAAACAAAAACGTGTAAAGTCATCCAATATGCACTACTGTATAATCTAAACATCTCTCTCAAAGGACTCTCATTTTCCTTAAATCTACTAAAATGGACTTTTTAAAAAAATGTATTCAGTCTTCCTTAATGTTCTAAATACAAGTTAAATTTAGCACTCTAACCATCTTCATTCGATAGTCCAGACAGCGACAACCTTCAGTGTTTTTGAGGAACAGCCAATGCCTACATTAAGGAAAACTCCTGCCAATCAAAACACCTTAACAGCAGAGCAACCATTAGCTGAACAACATTTTCCTTGGCCAGCAATTGTCTGCTATCTTTGCTGAAACACAAACTTGCACACTATTTTTACTCTCAGATTAGGTCACAAAACTTCTACTGAGCAGACCACATGCAAAAACTTTCATGAAGAATCCAGTGTCGTGTATCTGGAAAAATTTCTCCTTGCCCAAGGTTTTTTTTTGTGTCCACTCTTAGAGCACAGCCACTAAAACAGCTGATAAGCTGAGCTTCAATGAGATCAAACAGCAGCAAGAAAGCTCACTTCCCTCTGACACACGATAACAAAAAACCATTGTATTTACTCACACAAGCATGTTCTACACTGAAACACTCCACACTCTGCAGGCACTCCTCATGCCATGCTTTTATTAAGGACTTTTATTAAGATAAAAGTCCTTAATAAGGACTTTTATTAAGGACTTTTATTAAGATAAAAGTCCTTAATAAGGACTTTTATTAAGGACTATCTTGAAGTTCAGCATTTCTAAGCAAAGTTGGCATAACTTATGGTATCATAAATAAACCCAGTTATTTCCATAACTAACTGCCTCCTGCCAAGCAGACAGACTTTCAATAGCAGGAAGAGATTCCTCCCATCTGGGGAAGAGTCTGGTTTTCTCAAGCAAAGCTGCCTGAACACACTCTCGCACCTACAGTCGGGTATTTTTCTTTCCTAAGAGTTAACATCTGACCTCATTAAAAAGGAGGCAGCCCAGCTGACTGGTTGTCACTTGCAGGGCTTTTGTCCTACAAGACCACAGCATCTTCCGTAACCAAATGGAGAAAAACATTCAGAGGACAAAGACACTGGTGGAAAACTAAAGATTTAAACCCGACTGCACATCTGAGCTGTTTCATTCTTCTGCTGCACAAACTAATACCTTATAAAGAGCCAAATATTAAACAAATTCAGGTTTTTAAGGTGGTCTCTCTCTTCCCCATCTTCACTCAATCCATGGGGAGAGGGGGAAATATTTCTCATTCAAGAATGAACTTATTCCTCTACCCCAAAAATTCCCTTGACTAAGGCAATTAGGTCAGATATGAAATATTTACCATTGCAATGTAGCTGTAACTTCAACTTATTCCCCTACTCCAAAAAAATCCCTTAACTAAGGCAATTAGGTCAAATACAAAATATTTACCATTGCAATGTAGCTGTAACTTAGAACAATCTCTCGAATTTTCCTCATCTCTTCTTCCAGATTGTTGGCCCATACTTCACAGATAACCTGGCTGTTCTCTGCAAGGGCTGCTGGCATCTTGCAGGGACCAGAGTAAAGACAGCTGCCGTTGAATTCAGATGACAGAGTAGAATTGCAAGCTGTGCGATCTTATCAGTGCGCTGCATTGGACAGATAAATAAACAGAGCTTGATAGGAAGAAAGACCTGCATGTAAGAACGAATGCCCTGGTAGAGTCAGTCACACTTCCATTTTTGGGTTTACACCTTTACACATTCAAATAGCTCATTTAAAGTTTTTTCTTGCTTTTATTACTTCCTGTAAACAGTCAGAACAAGAAGATCTAGAGCATCCGTTCAGGATACAAGAGTGGAGGCACAATGAACAGTCCAGTTATTCATGAAAAGAACCATCCTCCCGCCTTTCTCCTGGCACAAGCTCTGAAACTTTGGGCATCAGATGCAGCAGAAGCAGAGAATCCTCACACGGAACACTGCCCAGCTGTGGCCACAGCTTTCAAAACCGGTGCTTTGCAGCCGACATGTACAGACACGGGCATCTCGGGTGCGACTGAGGGACACCGGGGAAAGGCGGCAGCTCCCGCGGTGCTACGCCCGGGACCAATGGCCGCTCGCTCACCATCTCCCAAAC